CCGTGCGTCGGTGAAACCATATACGAAACTAATGCCGAGTGTATCCACGATCTACATCGTCGTCTTGAGCGCTCGGCGGAGCACTTCCAACAATTCATCTGGCCATCGATATCACCTCCATCTGATTTACACGGTGCTCTATGGTCTGTGGACATTTCACCGCCTATCGAGGAAGGAATTTTTCTCCCTTCGGCTAAGCTATCTGGAATATTGAATCCATTCCATCCGAATGGATTTTGTCGGACGTCATACCTGTTTTCAAGAAGGCCTCGCCACGAATGCTCCATTTACCGAGGGATTAGTTTTATCTCCATTGCATCTAAGGGGATTACATCGTCGATCTTTCGCAGGTTCAGTTAGGTAACCGAGCGTTATAGATAGATGGGAAAGATGGCTTTCCAAATGGACACCTNTGTAGACCCTTACACGACCACAGGTATGTGAGTACAGTGAACTCAGTAGGTTAATGTACTTCTGGGGCATTCCTTTTCGAAGAAGGCAGCCCATCAGAGCTTCGCGGTCAACTGAGTCGAGGGCTCCTTTCAGGTCAAGAAACACTGCGATCGTTGGCCGACGGTGGGTATGACGCAGCTCAAGGACCTGAGACAACATAAAAGTTTGACCAATACATCCACGGCCAGGCGGGAATCCGGCTTGCTGTTCACGGATATTGGTCTTTCTTAAAGGCGTCAGACGTTGAAGTATAACCGAAGTGAGCACTTTGGTGACGATCGGGATCAAACTGATCCCGCGGCGGTTTTCGCAGTCGTTCGGAAATCCTTTCTTGAAAATCGGAACGATCAATGATTCGCTTCAAGATGAAGGAATGCGCTCTTGCGTCCAAATGTTGTACAGTAAGATAGTAATAGAGCTTACGAGGTTATCACCGCCCATGTAGAAAAGAGTGGGAGGGAGCTCATCCGGTCCTATTGCCTTGCCTCGCTTCAGAGCTTGAATGCAAGACCGAACTTCTACTTCCGTTGGAGGATCGCATGACACTGCCCACAGAGCTTCAGTTATAGATGAAGCAGCCTGGTTAGCATTAGGCCAGCTGAACTGTTCGCTGAAGTATTCTGCTTAGCGATGGAGTCGTTGATCCCTATTGTGAATAGCTCATCCCCTCTTAGCGCGGACTGTTTCACTAACTGGACTTCGCCGAGAGCCCGTATTGCGTATCAGTCGGAACGGTCTTTGACTATTCCCTGATGCAGCTGCTACTTCCATTTCATTAGCTATTGTTGCCCACCAGTTCTCACGGTCCTTCTTGAGCTGACGTTGTAGATGCCATCTAACTCCATTTTGATCCTGGCAGGTCCGGATTTGTCGTATTTGCTCCATCAGGGCTACTGACTCCTGAGATATCCAATGCCTCCGGCGGGTTTGAGGCTCAGACCCACTAGCAACATTCGCTGCGGAATGCATTGCTCGCCTAATCTGATCCCACTGTTCGTCTACATCACCACTTTGAGGCGTACTTAGCTTACGCACCGGCTCTGACTCATAGAGTGCATGAACTGCTGGAACAGATAGTCGTTGATGAGCTACCGGAGCTTGCTGGTTTCGTCGTCGACCAGTCAGTCGGAGAGTGAACTGAATCAAAACTACTGCGTGGTCAGACTCAACGCAGGTGGTCCAATAGGACCTGCAATTTTGCACTGAGCCACGCCAACGGTAACTTACTGCTATGTGATCGAATTGAGTTAGCGTATCAGTTGAACTGGAGTGCCACGTTGCCGTCCGTCGAGAGCTGTGTCGGAAGTTGGTACTTAATAGGAACAGATGACGATCTGCGCAGAACTGAAGAAGTCGATCGCCGTTATCTGTTCGTTGGCTGGGCAGAGCACAACTACCGCCTAGGCAGGCTTCTGATGCACTCAGTTTTCCAACCTACGCGTTGAAGTCACCTGCAAGTACAAGTATGTCGGAGCTTCGACTCATCCGAATGAGGTCGACGAGTTCATTGTAGAAGGCGTCCCTGTGTGTATCAGAACTGCAACTGGTCAGTGCGTATGCTGATACGATGAACAAACACCTTTTGGTGTTGCTTCCCCTCCGGACGCTGATTGAACCCTAGAGACGTACTGCACATAAGCGACTGTTGACGGCGATCCAGCCGATAAGAGAGAACTCCACCCTGTTACTGAGTACAATACCTACCCGCGTTGATCTACTGAGCGGGCTTCGTCGTCACCTGATGTGCGAAGAACGTATCTCGTCGACAAATCTGGCGTGCTAAAGTGGCTTAGAGTAGTAGGATCCTGGATTCCAGTTTGCGACACGCAGCAAATATCGATTCCTAAGGATTCCATTGTGCGAGCCAGACAAGCTTGTTGACCTACCTGCATCAGGGTCCTCACGTTGAAGGCTTTCAGATTAAGTAATTGATGAGGCTTTGGAATGTGCAGTGGTAAATTACTTACAGTGCTATTTAGCAACGACCTTTGGCGAGAGACATCCAAGTTGCTTGAGGGACTATTACAGGTTGGAAGAAGAAGTAAAGGGAAGGAGTTGGGTACGGAAGATAAAGAGTTGAAGGTTGGGATATCTGAGCAGTAGCCCACTTATCACTACCCACTCCGCTCGATGCAATGGGCGGTACGGTCCTGATTATCCTGCGCGACGACCGATGCAGTATGAAATTAATTTTAATTTGTGTATGTATTGGGGTTTGATGGACGGGTACTGCTAGGGTGTCCAGAAACTAAGCAGAACGATTAGGGTCCTCGTCCAAAGCCTTTAGTTCTAACAAGAACCTAACCGCAAGGCAGCGCGTGAGGCAAGGTGGAGATCCATTTACTTGGATCGATTATTCCTCCACCGCCTTTTACCGACTGAAACGCAAATTCTAGTCGAACCCCCAATCTGGAGGACCAGGAGATTGAACTTCGTCTGACCTCTGCGCATTGACCTAATTACAGAAACAATGCCGCTTCACAGTTTTATGATAGCATCTCCCCTTCATTTACCATCACAAGCGGAGTCCGACAAGTGTGCTCGGCTTCAAACGTCCTGTTTAATTTTGCAGTGGACGCAATCCTAAGCACCGTTTTAGAGAACTGCAAGGCTTCTGGTGTGAGGCTTCTCCCAAGTCACTTGTAATATGCAAACGATGTCGTTGTACTCTACGACTCCTAAGGCGCTCAAAACGTCTCAATTGAGGTTTGTCCTTCAGGTAGNGATATTCGATGGGTGGCGTAAACAGGAGACGTCTGGGGTTATTCGGGGTTGAGAGGAAGAACTAGATAGATCGGATAGAGGTTTTTCCAACTGGCTGCCTCGGACTTTAGAGCACTGTTGCCCACACCGACGGAGGGGTTTTTTTGGGAACCCTAACCGGAGCCTTTGACTCAATAGTCTGACCCACAAGGCAGCGGGAATACACGTTTTTCTTTGGGAACCCCAACCGGAGCCTTCAACTCAAGGTCTGATCCCCAAGGCAGTGGGGTGTAGATCCAACACAGGAGCGTGAACGAGGCACCCGTGCGGGAGCTTCTAGAAACCTGTCACGCAAAGCCATTGAATTTTGATTAATTGTGTTGTTCGATGGTGCGTTGTCGGTTCACGTTAGCCTCATGCACCTAATGATACAAGCGGAACGTGGACGGAACAGCACTTCATTGGCTGGGGGCTGCTCAGCTTGGGCGGGTGGTAGCTGTCCAATGAAGTGCGAAGACTTCCACTGTCGAGAGGAAACCCCAGGTACCCCGCTCTGACGTCCATCTAGCAGGGTTTTTTTCGACCGGTAAACTGCCCCTCACTGTTATTTGCTGGAGTGGTCTCTCCAGGGGCAGGTGAATAGAAAAAGGAAGTCAGGGGTGCCCAAGTAGCTGGCTTTGTGAGACTAAGCCTCGCCTGGTCTTTACCCATTGACC